CACACACATGGTATAGTCCCTCTGGTGACGCCTTCTCTCCAGGTGACACACACGGCACAGCCCCTCTGGCAATGCCTTCTCTCCAGGTCACTGACACGGTACAGATCCTCTGGTGACGCCTTCTCTCCAGGTCACACACACGGTACAGATCCTCTGGTGACGCCTTCTCTCCAGGTCACACACATGGTACAGCCCCTCTGGCAATGCTTTCTCTCTAGGTCACACACATGGTACAGCCCCTCTGGCAATGCCTTCTCTCCAGGTCACTGACACGGTACAGTCCCTCTAGTGATGCCTTCTCTCCAGGTCACACACACATGGTATAGTCCCTCTGGTGACGCCTTCTCTCCAGGTCACACACACGGCACAGCCCCTCTGGTAATGCCTCCTTTTGGTCTTCCCTCCTAGGACCCGACTGACTTTGAGTGGAATTTCTGGCTGGAATGGGGGAAGCGGAGCCTGGTGTGGCTCTTCCTTGGCCATGCAGCTGTGTCTCAGTTGGCCACGCTGCTCGCAAAGAAGGTACGAGTTCGTGTGTCATTTGCTTTTAAACCTCTTTCTCCTTTGGGTTTGGTGAAGAGGCCCAGGCTTTGAATCGGGGTGGCACCGAGGAAGCTTGGGAACAGCATTAGCCAGAGTGACTCTTGAGCCGAAGGTGTCTCCCCGTTTCTCCCTACTGTGATTTCCTCCAGACTGTCTCCTAAAGACCACTTCAGCCTGAGCTACCTCAGCTGGCACTCACTAAGCTCATCCCTGATGGAACGGTCTCGTGCAGACTTGCTTACTTGGGAGATTATGTGTGGCCTCACAGTTCAGGAATTATTGTTTAGAAGCAGAGACAGATGGGCCTGGAGAAATGGCTCCGCAGTTAAGAGTACTGGCTGCATTTCCAGATGTCCTGGGTTCGATTCCCAGGACCCACCTGGTGGATCACAATAGTAGTGTCTAGTTTTATATCATCTTGACACAAACCAGTAAAGCATGATTAATAAAAACTCAGAGAGAAATTGGGGTTTAACCTGAAGATCTGGAAAGCAAAGCAGCCAGCCACTGGCTCTCACCCCAACGTCAGTCCAAAATGGCAACCCCGCCTCCAGGAATCTCAGAATGAGACTGTGTCTGAGAGCTGTCTCCTCCCATTTTATAAACCTCTCTAGGGCTGGGATTAAAGGCAAGCACCACTGGGATTAAAGGCATGCACTGCCCGATTTCTATGGCAAACTAGTGTGGCTACTGGGATTAAAGGTGTTTGTTATTGTCGCCTGGTCTGTAAGTGTGGACAGTGCGGCTGTTTTACTCTCTGAATTTCAGACAAGCTTTATTCATTAAAATAAAAATGAAATGCCACCACAAACTTGGTGTGGGAAGTCCTTCTGTATATGTGTTGTTTTTTATTGGTTGATGAATAAAAAGAAGCTGCTTTCAGCCAATGGCTTAACAGAATATAGCTAGGCTGGGAAAGATATATACAGAGAGTAGGCGGAGTCAGAGAGACTCCATGGAGCCGCCAGAGGGGAAAGACGCGAGCTGCCGGTTGGAACCTTGCTGGTAGGTCATGAGCCTTATAGTAAAATATAAAATAATAAAAACGGGTTAACCAAAGATATAAGAGATAGCTAGCAATACACTTAAGTGATTGGCCAAACAGTGATTTAAATATTATAGTTTCTATGTGATTATTTCGGTTCTGGGAAGCTGGGAACGAACAAGCAGCCTCCTATAACACAAACTAGAGACATCTGAGAGGAGGGAGCCTCAGCTGAGAAAATGCCTCTGTAAGATTCAGCTGTAAGGTATTTTCTTAATTAGTGATCAGTGGTGGAAGGCTCAGCTATTGTGGGTGGTGGCATCCCTGGCTTGTGGTGGTGAACTAGTAAGCCCAGCCGTAGAGAAATCTACCAGATATGATTCTATGCATAGGAGACTTGGGAGTGTGGGCCCTAACAGGTGCATTCTGGGTGCAGTGTGAAACGAGACGGCTGCTGGGGTCCGGATGTAGCATGACCAGTGGGGGATTCAGTTTCCTTGATGCTCTTAGCTCAGGCTTCCCTTCTGAGGCAGTGTGGCTGTGGACCCTGGGTATCTGTGTGTTTGTGTGTGTGCCATGGCACAGGTGGGGGTCAGAGGACCGCCTGCTGTGGTCAGTTCTCTCTCTCCATGATGTGAGACCAGGAGGTCAAACCCGGGAGGTCAGGTGTGGTATCTGACGCCTGCGTGCGTGTGCTCTCTCTGGGCCCCAAGGCCCCACATGGCATGGCATTCGCCGATAGCCAGCACACATGCTCTCAACATCTTGTTTATAATTCCTAGTACAACACAGAAGCGGGATAGCTGTGGTCGTGTTCTAGAGGTAGCAACAACAGGAAAATGTGTGTGTTTTATTTTTGATATTACTACCGTTCTAGCCAAGGCCGGAGTCATTCACAGTGTGTGTGATCATCAAGTCTGTCACTGGTCACTCCCTGCCTCTGGGCCTGTGTACCCAGGTCTGCAGTGGAGATGGCACTGGCTTCTGGGCAGTGATGGCAAAGCGGTGCTTTTTCCCAGGTCACGTTTGCAGGTGGGCAGAGCCTAGGACCTGGTGCGGCTGCTCTTGGCTTCTTAGAGGTCATGTCTACAGGTGGTCAGAGGCTGGTGGCAGCTGCTCTTGGCCTCTTAGAGGTCACGTCTGTAGGTGGGCAGACCCTAGGACCTGGTGGCTGCTGCTCTTGGCCTCTGGTCTTTGCTCCTGGGAGTTTTCTATGTGGTGTTGGGGAGAGAAGTGAGGCAGGCTGGGAGGCAGCTCAGTGGCAGAGCTGTGTTTGTGCCTAAGGTGAGGAGACCTGGTTCAGTCCTTTGTACAGGAGCCAAGAAGGGAGGTGCCGCCAGGTTCCACAGCCCTCGAGGACCAAGGTGGGTCTGGGCCTGTGACCGTGTATTTCCGAACTGCTCTGTTTCAGGCTGGTCTGGGCGTAGGACTGGGAGCTACATTGCTTTCACATGGGGGTGGTGGGCTAACTGGAAAGCCAGAAATGAAGCAGTGCTGGTCCCTGAGCCATGCCTGGCACGGTGGTGGTTATCCCGTCTGCAGCAAGCGCAGAGGGCAAGGAGTAGGCCAGGGATACTGGCCATTCCAAAGTCGGAGGCGTCCCAGGAGGTGGCTTTGCAGTTTGGGTGTGGGGAGTGGAACTACCCTGTTCGGCTTCCTGTGTGGTGTTCTCAGGTCTGGCTGGGCAGGCAGACTCAGCTTAACCTCTGCAGAACACGTCTTCCCGCATGCTGGGAAGGAGGCAGAGTGAGGGCTGAGTCATCTCCTTATGTGTCTCACCCTGGTGTGACCAAGACTGGACAGCGAGGCAGCTGGCTGGTAGGTCTGCTTGCGGCTGGGCCACAGTGCTGCTCTGTCTGCCGGACCGGCCTTTCTGTGAGTCTGGACCGCCACCTTGGCCTCATTAGTCCCAGCCTCTCAGCACCTGGACCAAATGTTCCTCGTGGCCTTCCTTGGCAGAGTTGTTTTTGGTGCTTTTTCAGGGTGGAAGATTTGGGCTGCAGCTGCGTCTACTTTGCTGTCCTCTGGGGCATTTCAAAGCCTGGGAAGTGCGCTTGGGGGTGGGGGCGGGGTGGGGCGGGCATCAGTTGGTTCTCAGTCACAGCCCTGACTCCTGAAGAATGCTCCATCTCCATTCAGGATGCCACCACCTCCTAACGAGGGCAAGGCTGCTTCCAGGGGCACACTCCACCCTCCTCCTCCTTTCCCCCTCCTCTCTGCCTCCTTTCCCCTCCTCCTTCCTTCCTCTGGTCATGTAAGATAATAAAGTAATCAAGCTTTCCCTTGAGCTGCTTGGCTGAGATTAAATGCTTTTCCTCCAGGTCAGCCCCTGTCTGGGTTTCCTCCAAGCTCTGTGAGGAGATGAAGGAGGTTGAGTAATGGCTGAGCTCTGGCTGTGGGTCTGTTGTGATTGGATGCAGAGCGGGTGGGTCACAGTTGCCTCTTTTCTCTCATGCCTCTGTGGCTTCCCACCACCTAAGACGCTGTGTTCTCTGTCCTCAGAACTAAAATGACCCTGTAGGGGCTCTGAGAAGGCTGGCTGGCTGTGGGGCTTGGTGCTTTTGTTGCTGTGGTCTGGCTGGAGAAATGGCATGGTTAGTCGTGGCCCCATGGCTCAGGTCACTGCTGGGTGTGCACAGGGCTGAGGAACCTGGTCCTCTGGAACTGGCCCTTTGCGGGGTGATTGGCCTCTCCCTGAGGAGCATCAAAGCCACACACAGTCAGAGCCTCATGCCCTCATGTTTCTCCTGGAGGCTGCTCCGCTCCTTCCCTAATGCCAGTCTAACGAGATGAAGCTCCCGGGATAAGGGCCCACTGTCCTTTACTCCTGTAAAGAGCTGCGCGGGGTGCAGCTGTCTGGACCGAGATGGAGCAGATTAAGTTTTCTTCTTTGGGAGGACTTCATATATGTATATACTCTTTTATGTAGTATTATATTTATTTATTCCAATACTTCAATTGAATCAAAATGTAACAAACTACCTCCCTTTATTTCTCAAACTGTGCTCACTGAGTGGTTTCTTGGCAGATGTGGTCTGATCCACTGCCAGCGAGAGTGCTGACCCAACTTTGGCTCTCCCTCTTCGTGGCAGACACATCTGGTTACCACGTGGCGCTTGCGGCACAGGTACCTGGAGCAGATCCAGAGTGGCGTGAGAGGGGCCATTGCCAGAGTGTTGTCTAAGGTGGGGTTCTGACCCTGTAAAGGTTTGAAGACTATAGACTTCAGAACAAAGGGGAGCAGCTTTGGCTTTGCCATTGCCTGGGCACAGGTCTGGTGGTTAGTGAGTGTCCCAGGCTAGGGTCATACCCAGGCTGATGGGGTGACACACAGCACTCTCTGTTGGGGCATCCTCTCTGAGGCTGGCACTAGGCTGCTGTGGACTGGTGGCTGTGAGCAGAGGGGGTGGTCAGTCATGACCTCTGATGCCTTTGTCTGCACTGGTGGGGGCGAAAGCCTTTCTAAGGAGTAAGGTGGAGTCTGAGACTGGAAGGACAGTAGGGCTTCACATTAGTGGATCAAAGCCCAGCAGTTTGATGCTGGTTTTGTCCTCTGTCTAGTTAAATCTGAAGACTTGGGGACGCTTACCCATTGGCCCATCTATATTCTACCACATTCTTCTGTCTTCACGCATTGACCTCTCCACCCCCATCTATCTACCCGTCCACACATACATCAGCTCACCTAACGCCATCCATCCAGGCACCCTGCTTATCCATTTCATCCATCTGTCCACCCACCCATCCCTTTACTCAGCCCCCTACCCACACTATTTTCCATCCATCCACCCACTGCCATCCCGATGCCTGTATCACACCCCCGTCCACTCATTCGTCCATTTTCCCACCTATCTGCCAATCCCCACACTGCTTTTAACCCACCGATGCACCTTTCTACCCACCCCAATTTATTCACCCACCCACCCCTTCATCCACCCTCCCACCCACTGATTCACCTGTTAGTGTCTGCCTTCCCACCCACCTGTCCATCCTCCCACTCAGCTGTTTATTCTGCCATTTGGTGTGTGTTTGTGCTGGGTGCCAGGATAGATTCTGGCGTGACATTCATGCGGTGCGAACAAGAAAGGATTTTAGCTTACCGGGAAGACTGGTTATGTTCCATCCTGAGAAGTGGGTTAGTGGTCCAAGTGGGACGTGGCGTGGTGTCTGCTTGTCTCTGTTTTCTGTGATGTGCTCTGCATCCCATCAGAAAGGCCACGGCGTTCTCAGTCTGGCTTTAGCTCTGTTGTTAAGAAAGTCCTGTGGGTTTTTTTTTTTTTTTTTGGTAACATTTTGGACTTTTGAAAATTTCCCGTTTTACTTTTCATGCCTTGGAATCCAGAGAGCTAAGTGAGGCCACCGTTTGCTCCCGTAGGTTCTCCCAGCTCGTCTAACCAAGTGTCACATCGCTGTGACTCTTATCCGCTTTGCTAGAGCACAGGGAGATGGTACTGTGCACTTTCTGGAAAGGGTCTGCTGAAACACGGGAAACCACACGTACTCGTGTGGTGTGGAATGCCAGGCCTACGCATGTACCCCTGCTGGTGATGAACGATGGGGTACCAGAAAGCTGTTTGTGGAGCTAGACATCTAACCTGCATGCCACCTGCTAGTGTCTCCATAAGATCTTGCTGTATAGAACATTTTCTTAATTAGTAATTGATGGGGCGGGCCCAGCCCATTGTGGGTGGTGCCATCCCTGGGCTGGTGGTCCTGAGTTCTATAAGACAGCAGGCTGAGCAAGCCAGTAAGCAGCACCCCTCCATGGCCTCTGCATCAGCTCCTGCCTCTTCTTGAGTCCTGACTTCCTTCAGCAATGAACAATGATATGAAAGTGTAAGCCTAATAAACCCTTTCCTCCCCAAGTTACTTTGGTCATGGTGTTTTATCACAGCAATAAAAACTCTAAGACAGTGGGCTTTAACTACCTGAGTTGGTAGGGGGCGGGAGAGACGGAGCAGTGGCTAAGAGCACTCGCTGCTCTTGCAGAGGACCTGGGTTCAGCTCCCAGCACCCACAACAATCCCTAACTATTTCCAGGGGCTTGGACACTGTCTTCCGGCCTCTTCAGGCACTAGAGTGTACATGGCACACAGACATACATGCAGGCGGAGATTCATGCACATAAAATAAATTGACCTTCTGAAGAAACCCAATACAGACATAGGGTGTGACCAAAGCCTGTGCATCTGTTCAGATCCCTGGGGACTCAAGAAAGAACTTCCTGGCCCATTTGGTGACAGATTAGAAGCGCTGTTTTGGGATAAGACATGATGCATGCTATTTTTTTATTTTTTGAAAACTTAAAAGTTCTGTACTCGTTCATGGCAGGGTTCACACTTATGTATCTAGGAGGTGGACAAGTGCCTGAGCCATACCTATGCACCTCAGTGTGGAGGTGGGTGGGGGAGCGTTGCTTAGGCTCCGATTATGGACCTGACACTCTGGTGTCCCCGCCTTTTTCTGACCACCACTTCCAGAGTTCAGCCTGTGTGTGGAGACTGTGGTGATGGCGGTGGGGCCTTCCCCGTCCTGTCCTGCTGTCAGTTCAGGGCTGGCCATGCTGTGCCTGGGTTTGTATGATGTTTGGGGCGGGCGGGGATTCCAGTGTCATTTAACACTTTAGTGGCATTCTGGCTCACACGTCCGTTCTGGCAGTAAGATGGCGTGTCTGCCAACTCTTCTGCTTCGCAGCCTCAGGGTGTGAGTGATGGGGAGGGTGAGGCGGGGCCAAAGTTGAGGAGTCCAAGGTCAGCGGAAGAGCATTTCCCATCGCTGTCTCGGAACAGCGCCCAGTACTGTCTGCCTGCAGGAGGCCTGTCTGCACGCAAAATGGCTGTCGTGGCCGCTGTCACATCCACAGCAAACTCCCTGGGGCGTCGCTGGTTTGCGCAATGCTGCTAAGAATTTCTGAAGGCTCTTTCTGTTCCAAGTTGGAGCAGCTTCTGTGTGTGGTGGGTTTCAAATGCAGCCCAGTACACAGGCTTTTCCCAAGCAGATCAAATAGCACTCACTCAGAGTGTGACTGTGTATGCATGTATGTGTAGACATGCGTGCGGGGCCCCCATCGCACACGCTGTAGGGTATGTTGAAAAGAACCTTTTCCCCACCATGTGCTAAATTAGTCTTTGGCGACCTCATTTCTGGAAATTGGACTCTGCCCAGAGGTGGGAGAGTTGGGGAAAATTTGAGGCAAATTTCTGTGGCTGTTTTCTGTGGTTAGCAGGATGGATGGAAAAACCCGTAAAAATGAACTTCACATTTTTCTGGTTTCCTTGGAACGCAGAAGTGGCTGACTTAGTCTCACATTTCAGACGGTCTCTTGAGCTGGAACACAGGGCTGTGGAAGAGGGGTGCGTGGGCAGCTGTTTAGAGGGGCTGAGACCTAGGACAAGATGGGCAGCTGCACTCACTCCAGGCCTGTCCTGTGTCCAGTTCTCTCTGCTTCTGTCTCTCTGGCCATATGGGGACTGAACAGCTGACCCCGTGTGTGCCAGGCGATCCCTGCACCACCAAGCTATACTCTCAGCCCTGTTTCTACCTTTTGTTTTTAGACAGGCTCTTACTAAGTCGCCCAGGCAGATCTTCAGTCTGTGATCCTCTTGCCGCCTCCTCCTGAGGGGCTGGGAGGGGAGGTTCTGGCCGCCAGGCGCAGCTCACCCTGTTCCCCAGAAGATCTAAGTTCAGTCATGTGACTCTGCAGTTTTGAAAAGTCTCTGAAAGCCCTCATTCAAATGCCTCACTGGGATAACGTTGCACTTTTCCCCTCTGGGGACAGTATCTCCTACAGCCTAGGCTAGTTACAGTCTCACTATCTAACCAAAGATTTCCTGAACTCCTTACCCCTCAGCCTCTCCCTGTGAGGACTAGAACGACAGGCATGTGTCACTAGATCCATCTTGCAAAGCCCTGGGTCCAGAACACAGTGCCTCATGCACACTGGGCTAGCACTCAGCAACGGAACTACAGACACAGCCCAGGAGGAGCCCCTACATTGCATGCGTGTACTAAGCGTGTCTCACAGTTCCAGTATACTCGCGGTGACCTTGTGAAATAGTTACTGCTCCAGTGTTGTAAGCAAAGAACCGGAGTCACCGAGAGCTTATGTAACCTGCTGAAGATCATACAGGTGACATGAAGCTTTAGACATTAAACTATGCCGACACATTGCCGTTTAATATTAAAGCCTGGAGGCTGGAAAAATGGCTCAGCGGCTAAGAGGTCCTAGGTTCAGTTCTCATTACTCGATGGTAGCTCACAACCATCTGTAACTCCATCTCCTGTGAACACTACATATATGTGGTATGCATATAAGAAAACACTTATATACATAAAATAGAATGAATAAAAAACTTACTGCTTTTTTTTCTTTATTTTTGGTAGAGTTAAGGATCACACCAAAGGTCTGGTACATGCCAGGCAAGCTCTCTCCTGCTGAGACATGCTCATTTCTACATTGCGGTCTTTTTCTTGTGTATGTTTATGCTGTGTGTATGGGTGTGTGTGGTCAGAGGACAACTTTGTAGAGTGGTTTCTCCCACTTTCACGTGGGGATGAAACTCACAAGACTTGCAACATTGGTGACAGGCAGTTTTACACACTGAGCCGTCTTGCTGGCTCTTTATTGCAGTTTAAGGACTCACTAATCTTTGTATGTGTATATACCTCTGATGTGTGTGTGTCTGTGTGTATGAGGGCTGCATCACGAGGGAGGTGGAGAAGTTAGAGGACGACCTTCAGTGGTGGACCTCGGGTTCCACCTCACCTCTGTGCGCTTCGGGCTGACTGGCCTCTGAGCGTCTGGAGATCCTCCTGCCTCGGTCTCTCACCTCTCGATAGCATGCAGGGGCTACAGAGGCGTGCCAGCATGAGAGGCCTTGCATGGGTGCTCGGGATCCGAACTCAGGTCCTCCAGCTTGCACAGTTATTGCACAGATGGCCTCCGGGCCACCTCCCCAGACCTAGTGCCATTTTAAAATAAGGATTTAGCACCTGGACACAGGAAGAGGCATTGTGGCAGCAAACATGTGTTAATCCACCGTTTTGTTAGTCAGTAGAAGAACTAAGTTACTTGCTAAATAAACAGAATAGTATTCAGAGTCTTTTTAATGGGACTAACATGTCAATCAGGTAAAGATCTTGACATCACAAAAAATTGAGGAAATGTTATTTTTCCTGTGACATAAATTTAACTGTGAGTAGCATGCTAAAGGTGTCCCACCTGTTGGCTTCATCTGGGCCACACTGTCATCTAAAAAGTTTACACTCAAGGAATGCAAAACTGAGTTATGAAAAGAAATTGGAAAAAAAGCCTCATGATCCTCAAGTAAGTTCACTGTTTTTGCCTTGGATTGCAGCCGCAGGAGTCCTCAGTAAAACCTACACTGTTGGATGCTCAAAAAATATTTGATTTTAAGTCTAAGACACCTGAAAGTCTTGGTGTAAAAACATCCCAGTTTTTTCTAAGGCTCCCGGGAAATGTTTGCGACTTTCATTCTCATTTTGGCGTCTGAAGGACTAATTGTCTGCAGGATGTGGGAATGTGACTGTCCCAGCTGGGGGTTCCCTCCTCTGTCTGCTCAGAAGTCAGCCGAGCATCTCCCTATTGTGGGATCCAGTCCAGGAGGCTCTGAAGGCAGGAGACCTGGCAGGCAGTGAGAGGGTTTTGTTCCTGGTCACCAGGGCTTGCCCTCATCCACACAGTGCGTTCCTAGCCACGCTCACAAACTCATTTCCTGTGTTCTCTTTGGCCCTCCCTTCTACAGCACAGACCCTGGATCGTCATGGTCTATGGGATGTGGGCCTGTTGGTGTGTGCTGGGGGCCCCAGGTGTGGCCATGGTCTTTCTCCATGCCACGATTGCCTTCTGCGTGGCCCAGTTCCGGTCAGTGCTCCTGTCCTGGCTGTGTTCTCTCCTCTTGCTCTCCACCCTGAGACTGCAAAGTGTGGAGGAGGTTAAGGTAGGTGTCTCCCTCCTGCACACCTTACACAGGGCAGGGGAGGGCTCTGATCCTGTAGAAGTCAAGTCGCGGTTCACAGAACAGTAGCTTCTCCATGGGGCTCTGCCTAGTGGCCATTCCGGGTTATTGCACAAACTCGTCTGTGATTTCTGAGCCCTATGAGATTGTCCGTGGTCACCTTTTATCCCAGTTTGGATGTTAAGGGAGGATGACAAATGTCATGGGACCAGAGGGGTAGAAACAGACTCCTCCCCTCTCAATATTTTTAAGCCTGCCTGCTGAGTGCTCTGTGGTTTCCCACTCTCCTTCCTTGCGACACACAGCACCTACAGTGGCCCCAAGACAGTCAGCAAGTGATTTTATTCTCAGTTGCTAGGATGGGCTTATTAGTTATCCACTCAGAGAGCTAATCACAGAAGTACTTTGTGTAGAAAGTGAGTAGAGTGTTTTGCCTCCAGGTCACAGACCAAGCCTTGAAGTATACCATGGAGTAGTAGCATCTTGACAGGCACAATTTTTTGTCAGTTGAACGTTTGGTGGAGGCAGACATTAGGCAAGAGGTAGTCTGTACGACTGTTGAGTGGTTAGTTCTGCGTACAGCCTGCCAAGTCTCTTAGGGACCAAGTTTAAACTCGGTCCTGGTTCCGAATCTTGTATATACGGCCATAACATGTTTCTTTTGGTGCCAAGGGTTGGACCTCGGTCCCAGATATGCAGGGCACATTTTCTACAGCCCAGCTATGCTGCAGCCCCCATGGCTTGCTTCGGTTGCCAGTGGGGCTTCTTGATACTGCCCTGTACTCAGCTCTGTTTCACGGCTTCTGTCGTCAGTTTTCCCCGGCCAGCTCCTGTGTCAGGCCAGGCTGGCTGCCCTCTCACCGACTGTCCCCCCTTGTTGCATTGCAGAGGCAGTGGTATGAGACAGACAGTGAATACTACCTGCTGCAGTTCACGTTGACTGTTCGCTGCCTGTTCTACACCAGCTTCAGCCTGGAGCTGTGCCGGCAGCCTGCGCCTGCGCCTGCCCAGCCGGCCGCCTCTTCCTTCCCGTGGCTGCTGGCCTACGTCTTTTATTATCCTGTCTTCCACAACGGACCCATCCTCAACTTCCCAGAGTTCTACAAACAGGTAGAGTCTTCTGGGGGACTTGATGGGTTCTGTGTAGGTCTCTCTCTCCTTCCTAGACTGTGAATTCTCACCCCAAATGGGGTTGCTTACTGAGTGGGATTCACAGAGAGTTTGGGAACGGTGAAAGGCTTCCGAATGTATGACCAAAAATCATTTGAAGTCTAATGGGTAATGAGTTGGCGGTGTTTCTGGCATGGTCATCCTTCTTGTGTTATTGTAAATGTGGGGTAGAAAATGGCTGGAGTGTGTTTAGGGCCAGTTTAGAATGTGACATTATCCTATGCCATACTGCCCAGAACACCTCGCTCAGAGTCCAGGCTACCCTGTATTATGAATTGCAGGTTTTTAAGAAACAGAATGGTTTAATAATGGAAAACAAAGACTTTAATGTCTTCCTACATCATCCTCCTGATATCAGTATTGCATTAGTGTCTTTGGATCGGATTGTGTTAGAATGTTTGACTTTAGAATTTCCTTCCTCCCTTTCTCTCTCCCTCCCTCCCTCCCTCCCTCCCTCCCTTTCATACTTCCGTGTGTGTGTGTGTGTGTGTGTGTTTGTGCGCACGCGTGCAGGCACACGTATGCTACAGCATATGTGTGGAAGTCAGGGCACAGCTATAGGAAGTCGGCTCCCCCTGTCATCTGGAGGATCTAGCACTGAACTCAGTGTGTGAAGCTTGTGAGCAAGTGTCTCTACCCACGGAGCCACCTCACCAGCTCAGTGTTAGATTTTAAAAGTTGCTGTTTGATTTGATGAAGACAATTTCCTAGCAAATCATTAAATACATTTTACAACAACTTCTGAAATGGCCCTAAGGATGCTTCTGTAAGCCTGTCTTGCTAGAGTAAGTTTTTCTCGAACCAGGTTGTGTAGGTATATCAAGCTTTTCTGATGACAAATTCTAAAGGTGTTTATTGTAAAACAATTATTTTGTATACATAGTTTTACCATCTATTAAAGATGCCTACTAATGAGATGGATTATTTAATTTACACAAGAATGAAGCCATGGTTGAGTATTCGATAAGACATGGGCTACCTTCAGTGGTCTCAGAGTTGATCAATATTTTGATTTTATTACCGTCAGTGCTCGTTGGTGCCACATGCATCTCCCCACTTGGGTGTGCTGTGGATCTGAGCACAACTCCCAGCTAATCTCCTGGGACATATGTAAGGGAGTTTAACCCATGTGTTAGTACCTAAAACAGTGGTTTTCAAGAGTAATGGCCTCCACCAAAGCACAGCCATCTTGAAGAAGAAAATAATAAGACACATATAAACATACATGTGTACACAACACATGCAAATAACACATGTACAATATACAGGCACACACAGCAATCCATGTACACATGGAAGTATACACAACACATAGATGTACATGTATATACACAATGAATGCCTACACCCACATATAACACACATGTGTATACACACATGCCTGCATATGTGTGCAGCATACCTGTGCATGCACACACAGCACATTGCCTGCATTTGTAGAGCACGCATGCATGCACTCACATACAGCACACACACACACAACACATTGCCTGCATTTGTAGAGCACGCATGCATGCACTCACATACAGCACACACACACAGCACATTGCCTGCATTTGTAGAGCACGCATGCATGCACTTACATGCAGCACACACACACAGCACATTGCCTGCATTTGTAGAGCACGCATGCATGCACTTACATACAGCACACACACACAGCACATTGCCTGCATTTGTAGAGCATGCATGCATGCACTCACATACAGCACACACATGGATGTTTTAGATTACTGTGTAAATGACAGGTGAGTTAGTGAGGACACACCTCAGATGTGGTCCCTGGTCTGTAGCATGAGCACCATTAGGGATTTGAGATGTGAGTTCTCAGGCCCTACCCCAGGCTTATGACCGACCAGGGTTGGGGCTCACCGTTGTGGCTTGCCAGGTGCCCTGACTCTTGTGCTTGGGGAGGCTGGGAACCGCTGTCCTGAGTTTGTCTGAGGAATGGGGTGGAGGCAGTGCTGGCCTAGGATTGGCGACTCAGACCTTCCTATCCTGCCTCTTGCAGTTTTCTTGACACTGTGAACTTGGCTTCTTCCCAATTTTCCAGCCAATAACTCTTGAACTAAACCTCGGCCCCATCCCTCCCCTGGGATGGACAGTAATTCTTGGGGACGTAGACTAAAGCCACTCAGAGGAAAGAGACTCTCCCAAACTGCGTCATAAGCACAGGGAGCTTTGCCCAGTGGGGGCTGCACTTCATTGGGGTGCAAAGCCCTTCTTTGCAGGTCTCACTTTTCATCTCCTCCTTTCCAACACAGCCTTAGGGTCCAACAGGGACAATGCGAGGTGTAGTCAGGCCCCATGCCTGATCCTTAGGAGCAGACATTGAGGCTGTGGTTCACCCAAATCCTTAGCTAAGGACTGCCATTCCCTTGAGCATCAGTCTGGGGAGGATGGGTGGGTTCATCCTGTAGGGGCTCAGGCCCTACTTGGTTCTTATTTCTTCTGACATGTTCCAGTTGCTGTGAGAGTATGGACTTTGGAAAGGGAAATCAAACCTTTCTCTCTGTTCTGCTTGTATTCGTTAAGGCCATCCCAGAAAAATAAAATGCTCAGCAATCCACAGGAGAGAATAAACACTGAATAAAAAGCCAGGCAGGGTCTGGGGGAAGTGACTCAGTGGGCAGAGCACTTGCTTGCAAAGGTGAGACCTGAGTTCAGATCCCCTGAGCCCACATAAAGCCAGACGCGCAGTGCACACCTGTAATGCCAGGATCTGGTGGACTCCCTGCAAGTCTGTAGTCTGTGGGCCAGCCGGACCGCTGCACACACAGGTGAACAAGAGACCTTGTCTCAAATTGGAAGGCAAGGACTTCTGACCTCTGTGTGTGTGCCATGGCATGTACACACAGAAACAACACATCACACATGTTCTACACACAAAGAACAAAAAGCCATGTGGTTTCTGCACATGCTGAGAGAGCCTGTGGGTGCTCTTCTCTTCTGAGATGAGGTCATCTAAGAGGGAAGGACCCGGGAGAGGGAAAGGTGACCAACAATGGAAGAACTGACAAGTGTTGTGTGAATGCACAGGAGGAGACTTGACCACTAGGGGGCAGCAGCGTCCCACGTGGAAATGAACTCAGAAGGGACAAGCCTATGTGGGATTCTGAAACCCCAAGTATTAAAAGAGAGGAACAATCAGGGTTCCCTGCCCCGATTGTTCTTTGGGCTGACGAGGGAGGGGGACTTGACCGGGGGAGGAGGAGGGAAATGGGAGGCGGTGGCGGGGAGGAGGCAGAAATCTTTAATAAATAATTTATAATAATAATAAAAAAATCTTCAAGTAAGAAAAAAAATAAAAGAGAGGAACACCTCTGCAGATGACGTTACTGCAGTTTTTAGCACATACGTTTACGTATGCAAATGAGGGAAGCATGAATGAGGCCATTCTCCATACTCTAAAGCACGTGAAATAATTCAATCACCAAACACACTTTACCTCCTACCTAGCCTGACCGCCTTACCAGGAAGGCCTTTTCCGGCCCGTGGAGTGTCAGGCAGCCAGGCTTCAGCTACTTTGCGGCTGTACTTGTGGGGAGTTAAGAGCCTGAACTGCTGTGAGGTAGATCCAGCAGGGCCTGGGTAAAGCAGGGTGGCCTGCTGACAGGGGCCTCAGAGTCTCCCTCGAGCAGGGGGACTCTGCAGTGGGGACTGGATAGGGTGACAGGCAGTCTGAGTGGTGCATCCTGGGACTTTTCTTACCATGGGACCCTCGGTATGGAGGCCAGCTCCAGGTTCATATCCCTGTTCTGTTTTGGCGAGCTACCTCGTTTGTGCCCCAGCTCCCTCCCTGTGGGATGGGAAAGTCGACAGAGCCAGGGTTGCTGTGGGGAGCGTGTGGTCCTGGGAGGCAATGAGGCTTGAAGCCAGTAGGCTGTCACACTTGCTGCTGTTGGGCTGTGATTGGTCAAAAGTGTGTGGCAAGTTCAGGGGATGTTTAGGCTACTTCAGAGCCCCTTTCCCCCATGTCCAGCCCGATGGGCACCCTAGCAGAGGAGTCTGAGCAGTGGCCGTTCCTGGACTCTGAAGAAGCCAGGGTGCTGGGCTATTGGAGGGACCAGACAGTCACTGCAGGCAGGGGTGGGGCAGAGAAAGGTGTTGGTGTCTCAGGCGCTGTGGGTAGTCGGGCTTCTGGGTCTGGAGACCCCTGAATGACCTGACCATAGAGAAAAGATAAAGTCAGCTCTACAGCTTCTCATGCATGTAATCTCCAAACCCTGAGAGATGTTTGCTACCACCGCAAAGAGAGTAGATGGAGGCAAAGACAGGCTCGTGGTAGGCAGGCTGGGTGGATGGAGGAAAGACAGACATGAGGAAGGCAGGCTGGGTGGACGGAGGAAAGCCAGCAGCATCGTGACTGGTGCTAGAACTTAGTAGCTAGGGTGCTTACCTAGCATTCATGAGGTCCTGGAATCCCAGCCTGGGAGGTTGAGACAAGATGATCAGATGGTGAACATCAAGGACTGGGAGATAGTTCAGTAGTTAACACACTTGCTGTGTGCGGATGGGGGCCTGAGTTTGAATCCCCACAGCACACGGAAGCTGGGCATGCCAGAGGACCTCTGCAACCCCAGTGCTGTGGGAAGGCAGTGAGTCTTGGGGGCTTGCTGGAGCGGTGTAGCCCATATAGCAGCTCCAGGGGCGGCGAGAGACTCTGGCTCTAAAAAATACGGTCAACAATGATAGAGGAAGACACTGGGTGTTTGTCTGTGACTTCATGGGTATACACACACACACACACACACACACACACAGAGAGAGAGAGAGAGAGAGAGAGAGAGAGAGAGAGAGAGAGAGAGAGAGAGAGAGAGAGAGTGTTCAAGGCCACCCTTGGCTACATAGTGGATTTTGAGATATTGCTTTAAAAAAAGAAAAAAAAAACCCACAACCTTGTCACACTGACTTGGTGTGGCAAGTATGAGGGTTCAGGGGCTTCAGCTGTCTAGACCATGTACTGGTTTGTGGCGGCAGTGTGTGCCAGCTTGGCGGACTTCCAGGAGGGGGCAGTGTACATCGCTGGCCTTGCTGTGGGTGGCTGGGCTGTGGCTTCCAATGCTGGGCCTGAGTAAGCTTTCCACAGGGCGTAAGTGAGGGACTTCAGCTCTGAAGGGACACAGGTTAGGTCCATGTGTCCCTGGACCCTGTAGACAGAAGTCCTACAGAGGGACTGACGTCGCTGGCCCTAGGAAAGGCCTTGGCTGCTCGCAGGCACACGTACAATTCCCACGCAAAGGACAGGAGCCGTTCATCGCTGACAACTGTCATCTTCAATCTTCAGAGAAAGGCGACATTCCCTTTTGTGCAATTTGCATGAAATGAGATTTTAAATTGTAATGCGTTTTAAAATACAGTTGGCAGACGAGTTAATGCGTGTTTTCCAGTGGAGTCTGAGCTTGAAATTCCCACCATGGCAGTTCCCAGGGATCTTAAGGTTGACAGTCCCCTCAGTTGGAGACGCCTTGAATGGAAGGCTTTCCATGCAGCTCTGAGGGTGGGCGCTGTGCAGCAGCCTGTCCCTCCTGCTGTGAGACGAGGGACAAACAGCTTCGAATAAAAGACCCCATTATGCTCAAGTGTGAGTGGACTGTCAGGATGCCCAACCTTCCAGAAAGGCAAATGACTACTCGCGTGTGCATGCGTGTGTGTATACATGTGTGTGCACATGCGTGCATATCTGTACATGTGTGTGCACATGCACGCGTATGCATATGTGTACACATGTGTGCACATGTGTGTATGCATATGTGTGAGCATGTGTGTGCACATGTCTGTGTGTGTCTGTGTGTACTGCCTACTGCTTGGGGACACCTAGGACGACCTCCAGATTGGCCTTTTGTTGAGAGGCAAGCCGGGAGGGTGAATTTTCTGCTATTGCCCATCCATTGTCTCTGCTCCCCTGGTCGGGCCTGTACACCAGCAAGGTGTGGCACCCCAGATGCAGGCCATGTGCTCAGCACCTGTTAGGGTTCAGCTGGGGGAGCATTGCTGTCTGCCAACACAGTTCTCAAGGCTCTCAGCACTTCCTCCAGACGGCTTGCTTCAGTGCACCAGCCACAGGGTGGCTACACAGGGCCCCTCTCCATCCGGAGGGAACGTGGTGCCTCCTCATGTTTTCTCAGCTGTCAGTGTGGATTTTTAGTGACTTCCCTGACCTGTGTAGGGAGGCAGTGCCACAGCGAGGTGACCCCACAGCGAGGTGACCCCACAGCGAGGTGACCCCACAGCGAGGTGACCCCACAGCGAGGTGACCCCACAGTGAGGTGACCCCCACAGCGAGGTGACCCCACAGCAAGGTGACCCCCACAGAGAGGTGACCCCACAGTGAGATTACTGTACCGCTGGGTCACTGTGGAGAAGGTTTTTTTTTTTTTTTTGATGTCCTTACCCACATATCAACTTTAATGAGAAAATCTGAAATGCTGCAAAATTCCAATGTCTTTTGTTTTTTGAAGAGAGTTTGGGCTATTGGGGTGGAATGGAGTCTGGGCTGTTGGGGTGGAATGGAGTCTGGGCTGTTGGGGTGCTATGGAGTCTTGACTGTTGGGGTGCTATGGAGTCTTGACTGTTGGGGTGGAATGGAGTCTGGGACTGTTCAGAACCCCAAGGTCTGAAGTGCTCAGGCTGGATGATGAACATTCAGCCGCTCTGTGTTCCTGTCATAGACAATGTGGACACTCACCTCCCATTTGATGTGGGGTCCTGCTGTACCTCTGCCCTTGTTCTGGGATCCTCGAGGAAAGAGGACACAGCTGCACCCAGAGGCCACGTCGCTGCTAGTGATGCTGCTAATTCTTTAAGTGTGCGGGTGCTGGGACTTAGTACTCACCCTCCAAATGTGTGGGTGCTGGGACTTAGTACTCACCCTTCAAATGTGCGGGTGCTGGGACTTAGTACTCACCCTTCAAGTGTGCGGGTGCTGGGACTTAGTACTCACCCTTCAAGTGTGCGGGTGCTGGGACTTAGTACCCACATCTCACCACCACTATTATCCTTTTCACTTCCCTTTGAGGAAATCAAGACCCGGGGGTTGAGTAACTTAGCACAGTCATGCAGCAATGTGGCTGATGCTAGAATCGGGTCTGTTGTTCTACTACTGCTGAGCAGACGCTTGTCTCCTCCAGGTATTTACTCTGCCTGTTTTTTGAAGGTAGACTGTCAGACATCCCAAATTCTTCCATGTCACTCACACTCTGTGTGCCTTAGCCTATCAACTAGCTCAGGATGCGTGGGGACAGCCGGGGTGACCAGGACCCAAAGAGAAGCACAGTTTCAAGGGGCCGAGCACCTGAAATCCTGACCCAGTCCGGCTGCCTCAGGTCAAGGCTGGGGTAGAAGGATGCAGAATTTGGCATTGTTCTTGGCTGTAGGGTACCATGTTGGCACACCTCTTCTTGTTCTGGGGCAGTTTCCCAACTGGGATGTAACTTTCTTACCCAGGAAAATCGAGTGTCCTTAAGGCAAACAGACTCCACTACCCTATCAGTAGAAATGACAATGGTGATTTGTACAAACCCCATCAATAACATCAAGGGAGTGACGTTCTGCAAGGCTCAGGACCAAGCACAATCTAATGCCGCCTTCTCTGTTGTCCCCTCTTTAGATGCAGCAGCCAGAGCTCAGCTCTCCGAAGCAAAGCCTTTGCATTCTAGCCAAGGGCCTGGGCCGCCTGCTCTGCTGGTGGTGGCTGGCTGAATTGATGGTCCACCTCATGTTCATGCATACCCTCTACAGCAGCCCCCTCCTGGAGAGCGTTTCCTGCTGGACCTTAGGTAACTGTGGGACCTGCCATCAGCAGGGTGTCTGGGGTGCAGTGGCCCAGAGCCAACCTACTTTATATTTTAACCTTATTCCTCTTGTGGCCAAGGTTTTACATGTGTGAGCTGTTTGGTGTAGTTGATGGAAAGAGGGCTGTGCCGTGTGAACTGGGAGTCAAGGATGAGGGACTCCTTGGGCTGGGACTAACTGCGTATGGCAGGAACGACATCTTTACCAGAGGCAGCATCTCACGGAGCAGAAAAGAATAGAGTTGCTGGCTGGTGTAGGAGGCTGTTCTGTGGGCTGGTGCTCTGAGACCCAGTCAGGCTGCTTTCCTCTCTTTTCCTGTGAGCTTCTGAGTTGTGTAGGCATGGGTTCGGATCCCAGCTCTCCCAGGCAAGGGTGGGCAGCCTTCAGTGGTGCTTACACCTATCCAAGCACCTTCCTCTAAAAAACAAGGCTTGCCTTTGCAGAGCTATTTTGAGGGCTCAGGGAAATGGCAGACCTCATGATGTGTCTACACATATAGTAGATGGTGTATGTGTGTGCATGTGGTATACACATGTTCTGTAGATACAGTAGATGATGTATGTGTGTGCATGCAGTGTGCATACGTCCTGTAGATACAGTAGATGATGTATGTGTGTGCATGTGGTGTGCACATGTCCTGTAGATACAGTAGATGGTGTATGTGTGTGCATGCAGTGTGCACATGTCCTGTAGATACAGTAGAGAGTGTATGTGTGTGCATGCAGTGTGCACATGTCCTGTAGATGCAGTAGATAGTGTATGTGTGTGCGGGTGGTGTGCACATGTCCTGTAGATACAGTAGAGAGTGTATGTGTGTGCATGTGGTGTGCACACATCCTGTAGATGCAGTAGATGGTGTATGTGTGTGTGTGGTATGTACAAGTACATTTCTCTGCCGGTCTCTTACTTGCTTGCATCTTTCTCTGTCCTGTATCAAGGTGGGGTGGAGGTCTTATGGTCCCCCAGGACAGTCTCTAATTATAGGATTTGTCTGTGAGAAAACCATTGTCCTTTATTCCTCTGCCCCTAGCAACAGAGGACATGTTCTGCCCTGATCTCCATCTGCCTTCTCACTTGTCCTGCTCTGTTCCTTTTGGGGACTCCCGCATTCATCTGTGGCCTGCAGGAGTGCATGTGCATGTATGCTTTTGCATACATACCTGCGCATGTGTGCCTCTGTGCCTTGGTGTGTGCACGCATGTGTGTGTGCGTGCGTGTGATACTCCAGACAGATCGAGCTGCTGAAGGCAGGTGTGTAAGCCTGTCTTCTTACATGCTGGGTGATTTGTAGATTTCTCAGAATCTCTATTGTTCTTGTCACATGTACTTTGTCAGAATGTCTCTGAAACAGGAGCCTCACAGGACCCAGAAACCACTGGGTTGCTTTAGTAATATAGCCTGTTCTTTCTGAGTAGATGTAAAACCTCAGAGGATGTTTGCACAAATCCCAACAACATTTTCTTTGGAATGGGGGATTCGTAAGAATCGTTTTTATCCACGTGTCCCAACTGCATGCATCTGTGAAGCTGTGTGATGGTTCGGTGTGTGCTCACCATGTGCTGATGGAGCCAGGGGGTTTGTCTCCTTGTTTCAGGCTCCTCTTGCCTCCAAAACTGTAAACTTTTAACAGTATCAACTGTTAACGAAACAATGAGGCAAACAGGATAGGACCTAAGGTTGGTCTATAGTGGTAGATCCCCCTTACCGAGCCTGCTTCAGCTTAAGTCTGCACAGTGGAAAACAACTCAAAATGGGGCTTAAATAGCAAAGAATAGTTAAATAGTTAGCGTATGTGCCAGTCACACCTGACGGCAGCATGGGAGGAGCAGATTCGGTGACTCAAGTCCAGCCCGTGAGCCTCCTTGCCTTGCTGAAGAACTAGAATTTTGGAAATGCTTTGTACCCAGAACCCATTTACTTCTCCTCCTAGCTTTTCAAAGATAACATTTTTTTTGAGTGTGTGTGGGCTTACCATTCTCTTATCTTTCATGGCACTCGGATCATAGTTAAATCCCAGCAGTTCCACACTGTAGTGCCCTGGGATGTGACCTCTTGGCTTGGCGATGTCTGTGAGACACACCCGTGTTGGTGATCTTCTGTTGTGATAAAACACCATGACCCAAGGTGATTCATGCACGAAAGAGTTTTTTCTGGATTATGTATGGTTCTGGATCCTTCATATAGGGAGGCATGACGGCAACTGACAGGGAAGGAGGAAGGAACAGAAAACCAAGAACTCACATCTCGACCTGTGTAGGTACAAAGCAGAGAGAGGGAAGATGAAGGGGACGAGACTATACACTCTGAAAGCCCACCCCCAGGGACTTACTTCCTCCCAGCAAGTGTGCCTCTCCTAAACTTCCCAGACAGCATCACCAGCTGAAATCAAGTGTTCAGATTCGAGACATTTCTTATTCGGGCCACCATACATGTGTTATGGTAGATCACCTGTTTTTGCTGGTGGGCATCTTTCCATGGAGTCCAGATGTCATGTGTGTCTTTTCCACAGGATGGGGAGGGAGGATCCTTTGCATTTTCTATGTCATATTTGAATTTCTGAGTCTCATGGAGCTCACATGTCTCCCTGTAGGGCAGCATTGTTAACTCTGGCACAATAAGGAAAGCTTTGCATCACAGCGCTCTCTCTCTCTCTCTCTCTCTCTCTCTCTCTCTCTCTCTCTCTGTGTATGTGTGTATGGAGGCAGTGAACTCTCTAAGGCAATAATACTCTGTTACACCGATAATGTGTTCTGATGCACTGTTTCAATACTATTAGACATTGGCCAGGACCAGCCAGCTGGCCGAGTCCTTCCAGGGTGTGTGAGACCCTGCTCCTGTGCTTGTACCTTGCCAAGGAATGGCTGGCACTCTTACAGTATACATACTCAGACTGTCACACTAATACCAAATAAATTTTCTGACTAGCTAAGATGCCTTTTGCTCCCCTGAACAGGGTTTGAGCTTCTACTTCTTGTATCTCATTGACTCAATGTTTGCTTTTAGTTTCGAAAGTCTGATGAATGTGAAATACACTCGTGGCTTCTATCGAAATGCATGGGGCCAAATGACTAGGGACCAAAACCTCTGAAATGAGGCGCCAAAATAAATCTTCCTTCACTGAAATCTCTTGAAGCCGTTCTGTTCATAACTGCAAAGTCAAACAGTGTCCTCCCCACCCATTTAAGGTCAAGCAGCACCCATTTAGGTGTCTCCCTCTATCCCCATGTTCAGTGTCTTTCCTGCCCCACGTGGTCCTGGTGAAAAGCATGACAGTTTTGCCTGGTGTGACTCTTGTGCTTTTTTTAAAATTTTGAAACATAATCTCTCTGTGTAGCCTTGGTTGACTTAGAACTTGGTTATGTAGACCAGGCTGGCCTTGAACTCACAGCCATCCACCTGCTTCTACTTCCTGAGTACTGGGATGAAAGGCGTATTACATTGTTATATAAGCAGTTTGGTCTTGACTTTGAAATGAAGAATCTTATTGTCCCCCCCCCCCAGTGGCACCTGTGGCCCAGAGAATGACCTCATCTGCACACAGAGGAGTTTCCTCTTCTCTCCACACTGATGCTCTTGAGGTTTTGGTGAATCTCATGCCTTAGGGCCCTCTTGGAGACAGAACACAGCATGTCACAGTTTCACACCAGATAAACCCACCATCATTCTCACTGCCCGGAACCTGTGACTCCTCCCTGATCTCCCCAAGACCACCAGGCGCTTTGCCACATACACCTGGGTGGCGATGGTGTGGGGTTTTCAAACACTTCCAGACAGGCAGTGCACCCGTACTGAGGGCCAGAGTCAGGTTCTGTGAGGTCTCTTCTGCGTGCTTTCACTTTTGTTTGTAGCTGACTGGTATCCATTGTGTGCATGAACCACATTTTCATCATCCATTCGTCTGCTGAAGGGAATCTGTGTTCTCATTCCCTGTCTATTGTGAACAGAGCAGCTGTGAACACTGCTAAGCCAGAATCTGTGGGGTGTGACATCATATGCCAAGGAGTGATACAGCTGGATATATGATAGACTTATTTTCAGCTTTTGAGGACTTTTCCACACTGATTTCCAGAGAGGCTGTACTAATTTGCCCATCTTCCACGGGCAAGGCTTTGAGCTGTAAACGCCACGCTCCCTGCTTAAGTGGTAAACTTACCCCTTCCTCTGCTTTCACGCAAAGATTTCTGTTAGCAGCAGGTGTCCTGGAGCTGGGGTGGCTCAGCTGGTGGGAGGGTGAGCAAGTGTGAGGCTCTGAATCTCCAGCACTCAAAAGAGTCCGATGTGGTTGCACACATCTTAACCCTGGCGCTGCACAGCCCCTTACAGAGACTGTGCGTTATGTCCGTATGTAGACATTGGCCTCACAGGAAGAGGTTTCCTTGGAGGTAATAGCCTCTCACTCTACAGTTCTGAGTTTGCATGTCGATGTTCCGACTGCTCCACAAGCTAGGCTCATGTGTATCCACCACCTCTGTGGGTCTGCCTTCGGGGCCCCTGCAGTCCTGGCCGGAGGGCAGCATCTGCATGCCGATCCCTTGATCAGTGGCCCCAGGCAAGTGCACAGCCGCATCTGGGAGGTGATTGATGTTTAGTTCGGTGCTTTCCTGGTAGAGAGAGGGGGAGAGAAAGAGGAAGTATAGAGAGAGGAAAAGGGAGAGAGAAAGAGAGAGAGAGACGGACGGGGAGAGAGGGTAGAAGGGAAAGACTATCTTTAGTAGTGGTTCAGAGTAGACATACTAGAAAGGGCCAGGAGGGGGCAGTAGATGCTCACTAATCTTGATGAAAATCAGATACAATTTTATTAGCCTAATATTTGGCTTCTCCTTAGAAATTAGCAAAGTGTATTGATGTGGTGGTGATAGTGGTGGTGGTGGTATGCATGTGTGTGTAAGTGAATGCATATGTGTATATGCATGTGTGTGAGTATATGTGTATATATGCATGTATATGAGTGTATATGCATGCGTGTGAGTGTACATGTGTGTAT